GATTTTAAAGAAGGGGACAAGCTTTAGTCAGGTGATGCTGAGGCAAGCAGCTCTGATTATTTATTGAATTGCATATGCTGTTGTAGGAAAATAACCGTTCCCTTAAAAAGTTCTTTTTCTAGCCTGAAGTAGTCATATTGTGAAAGTGAGCTCAAACTTGCATTGAGAAGAGGGGGAAAAAAAAAAACGAGCAAAAGGATTGTATCGTTTCTGCCAAGATGGGTTAGGTTTGTGACAGTCGGTGGGATCTATTGCTGTTCATGTAATATTAATCCCCTGTGTTAAGCTGTGTTTTCAGTTGTATGTTTACTGTCCGAATACATCTTGGCTCCAAATGTCTGGAGGACAGAGTTGTCTGTGTGTACTGGCACTGGAAGCAGTGGACTGTGGGAGCTTGGTGTGGATACCCTTGATACAGAGTGGCGAAAAGGAGATCAATTTTTAAGTAATCCTACCATTTGGAAGACCTTTTTTTTTCCTCTTATTGCCTCAAGATACGAAAATCATGCAGAGTGGTCACCATACAATGGTTAGCACTTCAAATACTCTTGTGTGGAGAGGTCAAGAGCTGTCATTTGGCAGAGGAGTCTTGAGTGTTTGCATGGTTTGCATTAGGGTTTGTGTGCTGATTTTTCAAACCCTCTTAAATACCTGAAATTATTTCTTACATTATTTTAAAAATCTTTCTGCATTAATACCTGTCCCTCGGTTGGGTCATTTGCTCAACATTTTAATGATTTATGTCTCTCATGTAGATATTAGCAGGTACAAAGATGTGTTTTAATGATATTCTGCTGCATATTGTTCACTGGGGGAGAATATAAAGCAGGGAAAATACAACGCATTGAGTAAATGGATAGTTTCCAGCCTTTTAAATGATTCACAGTCTTTGATGAATCACTAGTTTCTGTTGCTGGCCTCTGCTTCTGAACTTTCCCTGACTTCACAGGTCAACAGGTCTGTCGGCAACTGCATTTTTAATAATTCGTCTGAGATCTCCAGATACTATTTATGTTCTCAGAGATTTTTAATATATTTTTTCAAGTGGTTGTTGACCAAAACTTAGTTATGGTTCTACACTACAAAATCACATCCCTCCATTACTGGAGGGAAGGCATTCTGGGAGTAGAGTGTACTGTTCACTGTACTGGGCACCAGTACAATATACTGGTGGAATGTACACAGGTTTTCAGTACTTCTCTCATTCATTCAAAAAGCAACTCAGTCCTCCCTGTTCTTCTTATGCTGCTCATGAGCTTCAGTCCAAATTCCATATGCTATTTGCCATCTTTTTTCCTGTTTTCCCACTCAAAAGGGAAGGAACAACTATCATACAATCAACGCTTAAAAATTTCCATACTTGGTAATTTGGAAAATACTCAACTACGTTTGACATGACTTTTTCCTATTCAATGATACACTAACATTCTTTCTATTTCTTTCTTTATTCTGTCATTTTCCCCTTTATACACCGGAAAAGTCTTCTCTGATAGATCCATTTTAATGCATAGCTTTCTCTGGGAGCAGTTTGGCTGTGTGCAAGAGGGGCAGTTACTTTAATTCGCAATCAGAAAGCTTTGTTCTTCTCACAGTGTGTCCTTGATTAATGCAAACTAATAATTATAAACACTACAGCGTGCAGTGTTACAACACCACAAGTGATTGGCTGGCCTGCAGTTTGACAGGCTTTTCTTAGACTCAAGAAAGAACGTTACAAAAATTGCATTTCAAAGTGTTTATCTCGCCAGAATTCCTAATTTTATTTTGACGCAATTATAGCAATGACATTTAGCAGTGCTGTTGCTAAAGAAACATTAACACTTTGAATACACAGTGTTTTTCAAGGACAAATGTATTTTTTGCTTTTTTTTGTTCTTTGAAGGTGGAAAGCTAAAATCATCAAGCAAGCTAAATCTTTTAGAAGTGTATTACATAATCATTAATAAAATACGATATAGAGGCATAGAGTTTTGTAGGTGTTTTTCTTTGTTTGGGTCCTATTATTTTTTTTTTTACTTTTCCCACCCCCCAACTCCTCAGTACCAGACAGGCACATACCCAAGTTACTCTGCCAGTCCTTCTTGGCCTCTTCCTGTTGGATTAATTTCCCTTAAGAACTTGAGCTAAGCCTTGCTGGAGTAAAGAGCTAATGCTGTTGACTTAAAGCTGTGTCTGGTTAATGTTATCAAAAGAGTTAAATACATCTGACTTTCTTATGGGTTTTATGGCCATCGTAAGTGTAAAGAAGCATTGGATAGGGTGGGGGTTTTATGAAGAAAAAAAATAGGAGGTTGCTAGCTACAGTAAGAGTGAACAGCTGAGTAGATGCTGATAGTGTGGGACTGTGCTACTAGTTCCTGGTGTATATGCTTTTAGCATGCCTTCAGTTGAAGATGGCATTCTCATTTTAAACAGAGAGCTGCTTCATGCGAAAGGTACTCTTGTGTGCATGAGAAATGTCATGAGGAAATTATTGCAGAGTGAGAGCACTGTTAAGTTCACACCATGCCACATAGCACACTGGCTTTCCCTCATGGGTAAGACCTTAAAAGGTGACCAGAGTATTCATACAATTGTTGTTTCTATTAACAAATAAAAAGGAATTTCCATGTTAAGCATATTTGGATCTGATCTGGTGCTAGTTGTAGCAGTTGAATTCTAACTCAAAGTAGTCAGTATTGTATCAATTCCTTTTCTGTTCTCATTTCTTTCAGGATGCTTTCTTGGTTACATTTTGCAAATCAGCTGCTTGTGTCTCAATTACTATCAGGCTGTGGCATAATCAATATAGTGATGCTACTTCAAAGCCTTTCTAAATATGCACTTTTCAAGAATCTCACTCAACCTTACAAATGGTTCTATGCATGTTTTCTTTCTCACTTAAGAATTACTATGCCTTCTTACTTTTTTGTGATTGTGGATCTAGACCTGCAAACTACTGAATATGTGGAGAATTTTTCTCCTGAAATAACTTCAGTGATATTAAAGGATTAATTCCTCTAAAAAGTTTAGCTTAAAATATTTTCTTCTTATTAAATCAGGATAACTAGTAACAGAGTTGATAACATATACCTGGAACTGCTTCTATTTGACTGCTTTAAATTATCTTATTGTGTAGCAATCGTATGATTCTATTTTAATTTTTTGTGTGTATACTAGCATAGCATCATTAACTCTGAGAATCTCATATTAATATGCAGGGATGAAGTAACAGGAAGATTTACTCCTGATGTTATTATCAGGACCAGGAAAAAGTGGTTGTGATTTGGGTTTGAGTGGTTTTTGTTGGGTGCGTTTGGGGTTTTTAGGGCTTTTTAATGAGTGTTCCCTGAGTCCTCATCCCTTCTCCTCCCCAAACTTCACTTACTTTTTATTTATCCTTTATTTCTAGTATCCTCTTTCTGAGTGTAAATTATGTGAGGATTGTCTAAAGATATACAAACCTACTGAATGCCTCTAAATGGGAAAAATCAATGTTCTAATAAAAGCATGCTAACAAATTTGAGTATGAAGTAAGAGGGATAGATGTTAAAGAAACGTTAACTCGTTATTCTTATTTGTCTTTAACAAGTCAGTGTATGGGTATCTTCATGGAGTGAAATTCTAGGCCTGAAAAGGGGAAAAAATGTGAGACTCATTAACAGCCATTTGACTAGCTGGTAGCAAGTCTAATATGCTGGGGAAAATCAAAAGCTTGAAAATATAGGAAAAATGATGATAATAGAGTACTTAAATTGTTTTAACGTAACTTAGTTAAGTATCATGTCAAACCACGATCCCAAGAGAAACTTTTAGATGCTGTTGGGTTGTGTTAATGGAAAAGTTGATCAAAAAACATGCAAGAGAATGTAATGCAGAGGGATCTGATTTATATTGTTAGTAACAAAGGCCTGTTCTTTAATGACAACTGTAATACATCTACATCCAGCAACTTCTCAAAATCTGAGAGACAAATATTGAGCTTAATTTTAAAATAGAGAAGCTACCTAAAAGTAAGCGTGCATGTTGAGAAGAAGCTGGATGGGGCAGCTAAAAGAGTTAAATCTTTGGAGAAGACATGAAAATTATACTGGAGTCAAAGATTATCTGCACAGAAATTTGAGGAGGACTGACTGGAGGCTAGCATGACTAAATTGTGGGGATTTAAAAAAAATAAAAAGGACGTTATTGGAGTCAGGAATGCATCTTTGAGGAAAAATAAGTAATCAGAAAAATTAAAACAATAAAAAAAAACCAAGAGAGTAAACCAGTGATACTTTTCTGCCTGGAAAGTAAGCTACTGAGAGGCATGCTAGACATCTGCACAATCTTTGATGCCATGGGGAAAAATGGATATATTTTTTTAATTAACAATGACTGGATAACCTTGTACTTAATGTAAATCCACGAATCTACTAACAGTCCTCACTTCACATTTTCATTACATCTTATAGTTAGGTAAAGGCTTTATCTGGCAACAAGTCTAATGTGTTTACAGCAAACACTATCAAAATTCACATCAGCAGCCCATGAAAACAGAAACAGATTTCAGTGAAGTTACAGCCATTTAATACTTAATAAAACAGAAAAAAGCTACTGAACCTAGTCTTTGTGTTATGGTCCAGTTTTCTAACTGTGTATTCTACTTCCAGTTGTTGTGTTTTTTCCCATTTTCCCCTTAGTCAGCTGTTGAATCAGAAGATGAGTCTTTGTAGTTTTTTAATCTTAAAAAAAAAATTAAAAAATCCCTGTCTTAAGCGAGAAAGCTTACCTACTATTCAACTCCTATTCACATCTCTGACCTATGGACACGAGAGCTTTACATCCTGTCAAAGACTGAGCTTTATTAAGAAACATTGTCATGTAATCTGTTTGGACTTTTTCAATGTAAACGTCTTAAAACTGTCTAGCTAAAGTCTGAAAGAAATGAGGGTAGGAAAGAAGGTAACAAAAACAACTTCTGTATTTACTTACTAAGTAGATTAAAGCCTTTATATGCTTTGGTTTTTTTTTTTTTGAAGGGCCCATCTTGCTGGGACGATGTGCTGATTCCTAACAGAATAAGAGGGGTTTGCCAGTCCCCAGGGTGCAACGGGAGCATAGCGGTAAGGTTTTGTCATGTTTCTCCAAGTACTGTGGCTCGTACAAAAATAATTGTTTGTAGGAATTCGAACAATATTAAAATTGCAGTGATTAATGTAAATTGTTACATAAGATGCACTTCAAAAAAGCTCTTCAGCATCAGGTAATGTATCCCCAGTGTATGGCAAAAAGGAAGAACTTGGTCAGTTGCTCCTTGGAATGAAGGGGGAAATCATCTTATGTCATCTCCTTCACTGAAGTAGAACTTAGGTATTCAAGTATGCATACAATAAATATGTGCTACAGATATAAAACCTCCTGCTGGTTCTTGAGATGATCTGCAGCCAGATGGTTAAACGCCACCACAAAAGCAAAGGAAGACATAGCTAACTCACCTGGGCTAGGTCACATGCATCTCTTTGCCAGTGTCATCTCTGTACTATGATCTGGAGGCAGAATTAATTGTCTGCAGAAGTTAGGGACGGGTTTGATCTTTCCACTGGAAATGGGCCCAAGAATTTCCATTACATGGGAAATATGGTTCTTTTTCTTTTATTTTTTTTTTTCCTTTAAAATAGACCAAAGATCTTGAGCAAAAGTTTTTTGGCTTTTTAAATCAATGATGAACTTCATGCCTCTGACTTTCATGAATGCATCATATGTCCATGGAAAAGAGAAATAATAACCTTGACTAATTCACAAGTTGAAACCTCTAAGCCTTTGAGAGATTGTCACATTTTATGATTAAGTATTCATTTTTGCATTGTCTTGAAAAAGTTTGTGCAATTATATTTTGTCTGTCTTAAATAGCTCCGCAGTGTATGCGCTTCTTTACAGTGATGGGTAACAAAAAACCTTTGAGACTTTTAGTTGTCAGTTATCAACAAACTGCAAATACTGCTGTTGAAGCAAAGAAGAATAGATTCCTTCATTATTTTGCCCCCAAGACATAAATGTTTTGCTTAAAACTTTTTTTTCATTGGTTTGCAGTTCTTATAAACACCAGTTTGCAACATAGTTTTGAGAAGCAATGTGTGTTTTCCTAAAATACTAATTTGTATGTATTTTGATATAAAAATAGTCTCTTGCCAGAAATTTCAGACTTTAATTCTTTTGGTTGCAAATACAAAAATAGAATAGTTGATAACATTAGAAATCAATAGAAATCAAATTTCAATTTAGTTAAATAAAATTTGAGAGTGATTGCCAAAAGTTATAAGGAATATCTTAATAATAAATGCACTGTGATTCAATATTTCTTCCAATGTGCTCACAAATATGAAATGTATCTGATTAATTTTTGTGGCCTTGCTCAACATGAACTAAAATGAATTTAAATTTTCCTGTGGTATGCTCTATGTGCTTTTTTTTTTGTGATTCCAACTTCTTTTGAGCTTGCAGTGAAAAACAAAGTATTTTGTGACACTTTATTGTTGTATTCCATAATACAAGGAGGTGGTTGAGGCACCATCCCTGGAGGTGTTCAAAAGACAGGTTGATGTAGTGCTGGGAGGTATGGTTTAGTGATGATGCTCCTTGTTTGTTGTGTGGGTGTCTGTTTTTGTCAATTAGGTTGACGGTTGGACAAGATGATCTTTAAGGTCCCTTCCAACCTAGAAGATTCTGTGATAATTATGAGCAAAATAAATGCAAGAGAAAGATTTATAAAAGGTAAATATTGCAACTGTAGCATTTTAAAATATGACTGATTGCTATCTGAGAAACTGGAGAACATAGAATGCTGTACATCAGTCCCCTGTGCTGCCTTGGGAACTCTCCCACAGGTTGTCTTCATGTTCATTTCAATTGCAGTCTGGTACCCCCATGGCCTGGGGTAACAGGCTCTTGAGAAGTTTTGTGCTCTATCAAGAAAATAGAAAAGCTGACACACACAGGTGAAAATACGGTCTAAACAGAGAATGTGGATTTTTATAAGATAATAAACAGTGTGTTTTTCAGAAATTTGATCTTATACTTTTTGAAGCAAAATGAGTGGTCCAGTGTTTTGAGAAATAGTGAACGAAATACACAGAGTACCCAAAGCAGAGCTCAGTTATTATTTTTTTTTCACATTAATTGCAGTCTATCAGAAATAATACATTCACTCTGAACTTTTACAGCTCCAAAATGATGAAGATGGTGTGGACACATATGTTAGTGCCATTGTGGAACGCTCAAATCACTTTTATAACAAACTTCATATATATTAATTAGAAAATGGAAAATTTTATTTCAGCTGATTCACACTGACACATTTTAAACGAGGATCAAATTTGAGTCTTTCAAGCTGTTTTGAAAACCAAGACCATTCACTAAGTGAGGCAGAGCCTTGTACTTTGGTAGCTGTCTCAAAACACTTTCAACCAGAAGTGCTGTGTGTAGCTGTGCAGGCAGACACTTATTCTAGAGGAATGATTGAATGCACCAGCAATGCTCCAGACTCTGGGTTTTCAGACATAATTGTTTGCTTTTCTCTCTGAGTTTTTTTCTTGTAATTCTCTGTATTCTTTGAAAAGAGTAACCCAAAGGCAATGGAAACAGGTGTGGTTCTCTGAAATTCCAGATGCTGCTCTCACACAACCATAATTTAGTTCCAGCTTTAATATCTTGAACTGTTGTGTTTTTTTTTTGTCACCTAGCTAGATAGCCAAAGGTTGCATTGTTCAGTACAGAGCAGCACCACAGTTCAAGTTTCACAGACCCATAAAGGTGTACGAAAGCCTTACTGATAGGTGAGATTTGAGGTTCATTAGTAAGTGATTTATCAGCTTCTCTTTATTTAATGAAGAAATCTCACCTGTATCTCTGAGGTCCTTCTTGTGTTGTGCTCGAATGTTATCAGAAAGCTTGTTCTAGTTAATCTCTAGGGAGATTAAATTTTGTTCTATGGATTGAGAGACAGTTTTTTTTCCTCCTACAGGAATGTACTTCTAGTTTCAGTGTCACAAAATGCTGGAAAACTGAAGTATTGGTTTCTCATGTCATTATTGCACACACACCCCCTTTTTAAAAATTATTATTTTGCTTTATTTTTGAAAGAATATGATGCATTAAAGGAGGAAACAATTAGCTCTACATTTTTGTCAGCCAGTGTATTCTTAGACTAGAAACGTTCCCAAATGGCTGCATAATTGAAGGGCAAAGATTATTGCCATGTTCAAAGAAAGGAGTCCCATGAACAAGCTCCAATTCTCCTTCTTTAAAAAGATAGAAATGAACTTCTTATTCTTATGAACACAGTTCTCTGATTTAGGGAAAAGGTGATCTAGTGGTGTATTTGAAGTAATGATTCAAAGTTTTACAGTATTTGCTTAATATTTGTAAGATTTTCAAATAGTCTCAGAACTGTTTTGTATAATTACTTTGTCCAAATCAATGACTAAAACATGACAATGAGATCACAGTAATTTTTTCCAGGAAGATGAAAAGAAAACAAAGCTTTGCAAAATATAGAATCAGTGACGTAGAATTTATGTTAAGTAGAATGTACAGTACCTTGGAGTTAAAATTAAAGTGCTGCTTTTCCTGGAGCGTTGTACGTAATCAACTCCAGTAACTTGGAGAAAAGGACAGAAGCAAGCTGTTTCTCAACTGATTGCAAGCTTGAGTGAGTGCTATTGGAGTTATCTTGAGTTTCGGTTTTGTTTTCAGTGTAATGGTAATAATTGGGGTATCTGCTTTCTGCTGAATAAATACAGCTGTTGAGTGTAGTCAACAAAAATTACAGATACTGAATCTCAAATGAAATTTTAACTGCTATCCTGTTGAGGGATGGTACTTGTTCCTCCTTTTTGCAGGGTTGGGAGGAAAGGTATTTATGATATTATTTTGGTAGGTTCAGGTTTGTACTTATAAGCAATCTGAATACTAAACTCTTTATTCAGTAAATAAACTTTCTTTATTCAGATAAAATATTACTGAAGAAGTGTTCTTATTAAGCTCAAACTTCTGCGGTTCTCTAAAATACATAAAGAACACTTTCTGTTTATCGTCCAGTGAAGTGAATTTCTGATTCTGAAGAGTTTTCTACTTCTATGTATAACGATGCTATTACATTTTTTTTTCTCTTGATTAACTCCTGCTATTCGAAAGTTATCAAGAGCCATAGGTAGGCAGAGACAGAGCTGTAACACCTCTGTAAACACTGAGGTGGTGATTTCAGAGGAATTGGCTCCACATCAGTCCCACACTCAAGGGAATGTGCCTCAGTTTCTTTAGAACCACTGCAGAAGGTGGTTAGAACCACTGCAGAAGGTGGTTAGAACCACTGCAGAAGGTGGTTAGAACCACTGCAGAAGGTGGTTAGAACCACTGCAGAAGGTGGTTAGAACCACTGCAGAAGGTGGTTAGAACCACTGCAGAAGGTGGTTAGAACCACTGCAGAAGGTGGTTAGAACCACTGCAGAAGGTGGTTAGAACCACTGCAGAAGGTGGTTAGAACCACTGCAGAAGGTGGTTAGAACCCTGTGGAAAATAGTATGGATGTTCTGTATGTGTTCTCGAGATTCTCCTTGATGGGCTGAAAGAGTTGCTGTAGATTTTAAAATCTCAGATACGATATTGGAAGGGTTAAAAAGGATTATAGGTCAGATATGGTTTAAGTCATTGTGAATAAGGAAACGTGAAAATTATTTTAATGGCAATATGAAAGTACTTCTATCCTGGTGTGATATCTCACTACTGTTATCTTGAACTTCTCATTCCTGATGAAGACTGATAACTGAATAGTGCTTTTATATTTTCTCCAAAACGTTAGGTTTCCGCAAAGTGTTTCTACAAGAAGCAACAGGACTTCTGTGAACTTATAGAAGCATCTCTGAGTATTGAGTTTCCTTAAATATTAGTATAGCCTTCTAATCAAGCTCTATAGCAATCTCCTGTGTCCAGAGCAAAGAATTATTTTCCAGTTTGGTCGCTTATTTATTTTTACTCCATTTAAAAAAAAAAATGTTATATGGTCATTATACATGGTTTCTAATGGTCACATTTTACTGTACAGTAGCACTACTGTTCTAGTGTGTGT